AAGGGGAGGGAGGGCCCTGTGGGTTGTATCGCTCGAAAGCCAGCGGAGGATGACCCTGAGAATGTTCCCTTATCCCTTTCTCAAAGCGGCCAGTACAATAACATCTTCACACCTGTGGATTGGCTGAATCCACACTGGACTGTTGGGAGGGGTTTCGAATTCCTTTTATTCTAACGGTATGGCCTGAGGGCCCACAGAGCCTGCTTTGCTTTCGCCCTGCTATCACTTCTGTTCAATAAAAGGTTCCTTTTGAAATGCTAAGTTTCAAGGGTCTTTGCTTTCTTGAATAAGGAGGAGAGGCCGGGCCTTTAAATGGAGCAAGGACAGGGAAAGAGGAGGAGGTCATGTCCCCTTACTTGGCACTCTTGGTTGTCCCGATAGGCAGCTAACGCTTTTAAATATTCTTTCTTGGCAGCTTCCGTTTTCCGCTTGTACACCTACAAAAGGAGAAATGGGAATTATGAAGCAGGCAGGCTGGATCTTCAACAATGCCCCCCTTACTTGCTGATATTCCAACTCAGGGGTTCACTTAGCAGCCCTTGGAGCAGGATTTCTCAACCTCAGCAGCTTTTAAGATAGGTGGATTTCAACTCCTAGAATTCCTGGAAATTGGAATCCACCCATGTTTTAAGCCGACGAGGCTGAGAAACACGGCCTCATAGTACGGGTCAAGGTTCCCACATGCATGCGTGCTAGTCGTTCCCGGCTCTAGGGAGAGGTGCTCATCTCTGTTTCCAAGCTCTCAGAGCCAGCGCTATCCGAAGATGCCTCTGTGGTTATGTGACTGGTGTGACTAAATGCTGAGGGGACACGGAGCGCTGTTACCTTCCCACCAAAGGTGGTCCCTATTTTTCTACTTGCATTTTTACATGCTTTAGAACTGCTGGGTTGGCAGAAACTGGGACAAGTAACAGGAGCTCACTCCGTTACGCGGCGCTATGGATTCAAACTGCCGACCTTCTGATCGACAAGATTTGCGTCTTAGCCCCTGAGCCACCACGTTCCTTATAGTACAGGTAGCTCTTGTTAAAGCAAGACCGGTTGTTAAGCGAGTTCTATTGCCCCATTTGACGATTGTTCTTGTGGCGGTTGTGCAGGGAATCGGTTGTGCAGGGAATCATCGTAGCAGAAGGATGAAAGAGCCATATGTGGCTCCAGAGCCCTGGATTGCTGCCCCTCCTCTTCCAAGAGGTTATTTCGCATACACGGATCTTTATAAGGAATCCCATAACACAGTGCTTGGCAACCTTCGCCATTTTAGGACCTGCGGACTTCAATTCCCAGAATTCTGCACGGTTGGCTGGGGTATTCTGGGATTTGAAGCCTACACGTCTTAAAAAGGCTAAGATTGGGAAACATTGCTCTAATTTCCAAGCCTCTGCTGCTCTTGAAGGACCAGCCTGGCCTTCCTCAACTTGATTCCTGCCAATTACCAACTTAATTGATATGTTTGGCTCAATTTTTCTGCAAAGTGTTTGGCAAAATAAGCAGGGTTTTCTTTCTGAGGGCTCCAGGCAGACTCTTTGGGGGGCTGTCCTTGGTGCTGAAGTTTGGCGATGGGTATGCGTCCCCGCCCTGATAACCCCTCGGCGCAACAAACCCGTTGGGACGTACTTGCTTCTGTTCCTCTCCCAAGCTGTCCCACATCGAGGCCACAATCTTAGAGACCTCGCCGAAGGTGGCTTTGGGGTTCTGCCCTTTAATGGCCGCCTGGGTGTCCCGAAAGAAGAGGGCGTAGGCGGAGACGGGCTTCTGAGGCTCGTTGGGGTCCTTCTTTTTCTTCTGCTTCTTGGGCGCTTTCTGCTTCTTCCCGATGTCCAGCACGACCGTGGGGGCTACAACTGGCGGGGGTGCCACCGTAGCAGGTGGGGCTGGTTTGGCGACAGAAACTTGCTACGGGACAGAAATGAACACAGTAAGAAATGAAGTCCTAGACTGTATTAACAGAGGGATAGACAGAAGATCACATGAAGTTTTAATATCACTTTATAAGGCCTTTGGTAAGGCCACACTTGGAATACGGCATCCAGTTTTGGTCGCCACAATGTAAAAAAGATGTGGAGACTCTAGGAAGAGTGAGAGAAGAGCAACCAAGATGATTAGGGGATCAGAGGTTAAAGTATATAAAGAAATGTTCCTGGAATTGGATATGGCTAGTTCAGTGATATTAAAACTTCANCACACACACACACACACACACACACACAAACACACACAGGTCTTGTTATATTCAGGTCTTTTCCCATGTAAGATTGTCTTGGCAACGTTTTGGCGAGGTCTCACTTGCCATCCTCAGGCTGGTGTTATACGAAAACACACACATATATGTACATACGTACGTACATACATACATACATATACGTACATACATATATGTACATATATATGTATATAACATATGACAATGGAAAGAACCTGAGGAAGCAGCAATTCCTCAGTGTCACTATCACTCCATATTTGCTGATGGATAAATAACATTTACAGAAGAAATTGCTGATGAAAAAAAGAAGAAAGGTTGTTTTACTGGTACGTAAAAGTGATATGCTCTGGCATCTCAATAATCCACTTTACTATGGATGCCCAATTGTGCAATTAAAAAAACTGAAGATATTCATATTTAGTCCTATTTTACCATAGCCTTGTTCTCCATAGCCAAGTGAAGGAGGAATGATCACTTTTCGTTTCTCTCCAGGACACATATTCATCATTGCAATATCTAAGCCTTTAATGACTTGGCCAACACCAAGGACAAACCATTTTGGATGGCCATCATTTTGTGTGCGACTGCAAAGAAAAGAAACGGTATACTTTAAGGAATTAGCTCATCATATTAGCATAACATCAGCATTTATACTTTTTGTATGTAAGCCCAAAGAATGCAAAAGGCTTTCCTGTTTCACTTATATACTCATAATTCTGTTAGTATTCACACTTAATGTAACCTTGGTCCGGCTATGACTACAGATAGGGCCTTAATTATTAAAACAAAACTTAAATCTCTGTTAATGGCAGAGATCCTTGGTACTACTGAGGTCACATGAAGAGTTGTCCAGACAATAAGATACCTTAGGAAGGGTCCACCAGTAGCTTCACAAGCCTGCTGAAAGTGCATCAAAAGCAGAAGGCAGTTGTTAGGGAACTATCTAGTATCACTGAATCAACGCATTAAATCAAGAGAGTTGGCAGCAGGGACATTTGTACCCAAATACAATCTTTTGGTGTATATAGTATACAACTCAATCAAGTTTATAGTCCTCCTTGGGCTTGTACATTTGTTTACAGATGTTTCTAATAGGTAATATAGCAATAGCACTTAAGACTTATATACTGTTTTACGGTGCTTTGAAGCCCTCTCTAAGCGGTTTACAGAGTCAGCATATTGCCCCCAACAATCTGGCTCCTAATTTTACCCACCTCAGAAGGATAGATGGCTGAGTCAACCTTGATAATTAATATAATTAATTCATAATTAATATATTTAGGGGAGATTGTTAGGCAATATAAAATATATGCATACAGAGCAATACAGATTTTTATCAAAGTATGCTGACAACATCTGCATCTTCCATTGATCATTTGAGGCTGCAGTACTTGGGGCATAAACCCTTGGAAAGCAGCTGGAGTAAATATTACTACAACTGCCTTCGAGTACATCTATAAAGTTGAGTAACCAAACTGTGAGTAATCAAACTGTGACACTGCCAGAAGATCAGCCAAAGCCGGCGGCATTTTATCTAAAGTGAGCTGAGTTCAAAAGCGAATGCACGGCCACAAACTTACCTGCAGTAAAACTTGGTCTTATTACTACCCAGGAAACCGTCGTAATGCGCATTGAGTAGATCACCCTTTTTGCTCTTGGGCTCGCAGACCTCGGGGACGTGCAAGATTTCTATCTGGACATCTTCTGCAGGGGGACCCACTGCCTTCTGCTCGTAGGACGGAAGGAGGAAGAGAGCAAACGCCAGCAGGAGAAAGCAGAGTCCCGCGCGGAAAGCCATAGTTGCAAAATTGGTCCTCTGGCTGCAAAATTGGTCCTCTGGCTGCGTGGCACTATAGCAGCATTGTTCGACGTCACGGGAGCCGAGCGGGGCGTGGCCGAAGATGCTCCGTCTACGCAAAGCCGCTTCGCTGTTTTGCCCTGTTCCGGCAGATGCGTAAAAGGCGTAGTAGGTGTGCCTCGCGCCTGTTTCTTTGCCCCCCCGCCCCTCTTTCCACCCCTTTCCCCTTTTTCTAGGCTAGAGAAAGCGTGTGGTCGTTGGGACTTTTTACGGCGTTCACTTTGCATTTCTTGCTACGTTTTCTCGTTCATTTAAAGCGAGGGAGGCCGGTTATTAGACATTGGTAGGATGAGCAGGGTTGGAGTCTCTCGCTGCCTCGTGGATGCGATTTCTTTTCCCGCAGACGCGGTGAAAGGTGAAGCACCGATCATATTTTTGGAGAATTGTCTCTTAGCCTTCTCCCCCCCCCCCCAATTTTTTTTATTGAATAGCTTCATTTATACCAAGATGAGCAGGCACGTTTTATTGCCAAATTATGCAATAAAAATAATAGATGTTCATATTTAGTCATTTTACCATAGCACTGTTCTCCATAGGCAAGGGAAGGAGGAAACAATCACTTTTCGTTTCCCGCCAGGACACAGGTCCCAAAAGTGCTTTTTCAAGAGGTAACTGAGCTTTCTGTTTTTTTTCTTGGATGACGTTTCGCTTCTCATCCAAGAAGCTGCTTCGGAGCTAAGGAAGCTTCTTGGATGAGGAGCGGAACCGTCTTGGATGAGAAGCTTTTTGGTGTTGCACGGAGTTTCCCATCCTCGCTCCTGGAGAGGAAGAACTGGAAATGGAAGGCGACGATGTTCTCCGGAGTTCCGCAACGATACGAGCATGCGCGTTGGGTGTATTCCCCCCCTCCCTCTCTACGGGCAACCTCTTCTCCCTGTATCCAGGAAGTAAATGAGACGTCAGGGCCGATGGGCCCCAAACGCCCGGGAAAGGGAGAGGGAAAGGCGAAGGCAAACAAGCCAGCCGACCGACCGACCGAGGAGGCAGGCGAGCCGAGCCCCGGGGAAGAGACGTCGTTCATTGTTTTGTTTCCTCAGAGACGGGCAATGAGTGACTTCAAACCCGCTTGGGTAGCCGCGTCTCTCACAGCAGCCAAAGGCGGCGGCGGCGGCGGAGGAGGAGGAGGCGGCGGCTGCCTTTTGAGCTAAGCCTCTCTCAGCCCTCCATGCCCATCGCGGATTCCGCCTCCTCCCGCTGCTGCTCTGCTGTCACCGGCGCCGCCGGTGCCTTGGAAGGCTGCGGGGCGCCAGGAGGGGCTGGCCTTGCCGCCGCCGCCGCTCTCGAAGGAGGAGGCGGGCGAGCAGGATGGTGCGCCAGGGGCGGCGGCTCTTCTGAACGATGGAAGGCGTCCTGTACAAGTGGACGAATTACCTCACAGGTAAATATATCTACTACGGAGGTTCTTCAAGTCATCCAGGTCGGGGTTGTCCCGAAGGTGGCTCTTTTTTTCTTTTCCTTCTTCCAACTACGGTATTTTCCTTGGAAGACGTTTCGCTTCTCCTCCCAAGAAGCTTCTTCGGCTTCTTCTTGAGCTGAAGAAGCTTCCTGGGAGGAGAATAGAATTCTTTGTTCTTTATTGGCCGATTTTGTCTTTGGTGCAAGTGCTCTCAGTGGGCATAAGCCGAATAAAATACATTCATCAAGAATAAAAAGACACAACACTTAGTGATAGTCAAGGTTCCTAATAAGCTATCAACCCTACTAGGAAACCAATAGAAACAATATAAACTGTAAAGATACAAGCAGTCATAAGTGAGGAGAGGTATGTATTAGGAAGGGAGAGAATAAGAATAATAATAGTCTTAGTAAATTATTTGACAGTGCTGTGGGAATTAGTTGTTTAGCAGAGTGGTGGCATTGGGGGAAAAACTGTCCTTGTGTCTAGTTCAGTGTTTCTCAACCTTGGCGACTTGAAGTCCACAGGACTTAAAGTTGCCAAGGTTGAGAAACACTGGTAGTTGTTCTGGTGCGCAGTGGCCTAGAGCGTCGTTTTGAGGGTAGAAGCGAAACGTCTTCAAAGGAAGCCCAGTTAGTTGCCTCTTAAGGCGGGGGGGGGGGGCGGGAAAGCATCTTCGGGACTACCTCACAGGTGGGTTAACCCTCGGGCGCAGGAGGGAGGGAGGGAAGGAGGAAGGAATGTGGCACGCGGGTATCCATCAGTCGTGCGTGGGGTCGCGCTGCCCTGTCCGTTGACCCCGTGGCCTCGGCTGCTCGTTGTCCTTTGAAGATGCCGAGGAGGAATAAAGGCGCGGTCTCTCCCACTACCGAGCGAAGCAGGCGTGGGGGGGGGGAGAAAAGGGAGGGCAGCTGCCTCTGGATGAGGGAAAGAGGCAATGCTTTGCTTGGTCAAAGCCTTGTAGGAAGAGGCCGAGAGGGGAGGCTGGCTGAGGAGAGGACAGGGAGATGGAAGGCACAGCCCGGAGATGGCCCTTGTAGTATTTCAGATTGTTGGACTCCCAACTCCCATCAGTCTCAGCCCATGCAGGTAATCTTCAGCTTAGGACCACAACCTGCTCCAAAATTTATGTTGTTGAGTGAGAAATTTGTTTTCTCCCATTTTACAACTTTTCTTGCCACAACTCCCAGATACTGGTAGTTAATATTCTGGAAGTATTTTACAAAAACAAAAATACCCCCCTCTAAACAAATGAATGAATATGTGTGTGTGTGTGTGTGTGTGTGTGTATGTATGTATGTATGTATGAACCCAAAACCCAGCCTGAAGATGGCGAGTGAGACCTCGCTGAAACGTTGCCAAGACAATCTCAATCTTACATAGGAAAAGACCCGAATACAACAAGACCAGCATATCTACACCCGTGAAAATCTACGAAAACGCACACAGACACACACACAAAGAATACATAGTAAAATAAATACAGGCATCACATTAAATGCGGTTAAATGCTGCAAGTTTGATGCAAAAGAAAGAACAGTTAACTGTTTTGACATATTTATGTTCTTAGTTCATAAACCACAAGCTAACTGTCTCTGACTAAGTCATACATTAATCTCAATTACATGTACAGGTAGTCCTCAACATACAACCACAATTGAGTCCAAAATAAATGTTCTTAAGTGAGAAATTTGTTAAGTGAATTTGTCCCATTTGATGACATTTTTTGCCATATTTGTTAAGTGAATTGCTGCAATTATTAAATTAGTAACCTGGTTGTTAAGTGAATCTGGCTTCCCCACTGACTTTGCTTGTCAGAAGGTCGCAAAATGATTCCTGAACACTGCCACCATCATAAATATGAGTCAGTTGTCAAGTATCTGAATGTAAAGCACGTGACCACTGGGATACTGCAAGGGTCGTAAGTGTGAAAAATGGCCAAAAGTTACTATTTTCAATGCTGCTGTAACTTCGAACAGTCACTAAATGAACTACTGTAAGTCAAGGCTCTCTGTAGTTAGGAATGATGGAGAAGTCCATTACTGGGCTTAAACTCTTGTAAATCAGAGCATAAAGTCACTGGCTTAAAGCAGGCTTCAGCATTTCAACAGTTTAGGGGCTGAATACAGGTAGTCCTAGACTTGCAACAGTTCATTTAGTGACTGTTCAAAGTTGCAACAGCAGTGAAAAAAATGACTTATGACCAGTTTTCATACTTACGACCATTGCAGCACCTTCGTAGTCACGTGATCAAAATTCAGACGCTTGGCAACTGACTCATATTTATGAAGGTTGCAGTGCCTTTTGAGACTTTCTGACAAGCAAAGTCAATGGGGAAACCAGATTCACTTAATAATTGTGTTACTAACTTAAGAACTGCAGTGATTCACTTTACAACTGTTAAGTGGAGCAAAACTCATTTAACAAATGTTTCACTTAGCAATGGAAACTTTGGGCTCAGTTGTGGTTGTTAATTGTGGACTACCTGTAGAAGAAATATTTTAAGCTTTCTACCCTGAATCTTTATTTCAGAAGTAAATCTATTTCATTTTACTCTCTTGTTTTACTGGCTCCCTAGATCAGTGTTTTTCAACCTTTTTTGTGCAAAGGCACACTTTTTTCATGAAAAAAATCACGAGGCACACCACCATTAGAAAATGTTAAAANCAGTGCCACCGTGTTTCTTTGAAAATAAGACAGGGTCTTATTTTCTTTTCACCCCCCTCCCCAGAAATAAACGCTTGGCCTTATTTTCGGGGAGGTCTTATCTTGTTATTTTTGAGGTGCAGGAGGCCCCTTAACCTCGGCCTGGGGATCAGTTGATCCAGAGAGGGTTGAAAGTTCTTTCTTTGTTTCTGGCACACTCTTGCCAGCCCTAGCATCGCTGGGCCTGCTGCTCTTTTTGCAGCCGCCACTCAGAGAAAGGGAGCGGTAACTTGGGTTTGTGGGAGTGGCCTCCGCAAGGCTGTTCTGCCTGAATGGCAGATGCATGTGGGGCATGTCCCCCCTTCCCCCCCAGAAATGGCGGGGACCGGCTGCACATACGTTTAAATATTTTAGGGGAGGGCTTATTGTAGTGCATGTGCTCAAAAGCCCAATTGGGCTTATTATCCAGGGAGGTCTTATTTTGGGGGAAACAGGATAGTAAGGAGTGCTGTTTTCTGTGAGTTTGTATTCTGGGTGGGTGGGTTGGGGTGGTCTTAAGGATTCTTTGGTTGGGCTGTAAACAGCCACACAGAATATAAACTCACAGCAAATAGCACTCCTTACTAGCCCTGATGATGTTACCTGGTTTGGTTAGTGAAATGTCTGCAAGAAAACGAGCTGCGCGCACCAAGGACCCTTTATTTTATATATGCTAGTTGCCCACTAGGTGGTGCTATCAGCCTGACTTCTCCCTCCAGAAACCAAATTCACTGGGCCTTGATAGCCTTTTGGGAAATAAAAACATTTTGCTTTTTGACAAAAAGACATTTGAGAGAGAAAACCAATATTTGGCTCAGAAAGACAAACATAATATCAATGGGTCACACACAATGGGAAGGCAATGAGAATTCTCCCTGTCATACTCATTTTTAATATGACAAAAATAACTTTT